GGCAAAAGCTGGAATGCTGTCCCTGAGCTAAGGTAATAAGGACTGTAATGAAACATTTATGGTATTAATAATTTTTAGCAGTGTCGTATTACTACTGTACTTCAGCCTATGCTTTAGCTTGAACTAAACAAGAGTTGTTTCATTATTATTTTAAGCCTTACACAAGAAGTCAGTGATAGCAAGCATTAATGCACTGTGTAACCCAGTATTAAAAACTCTTGTAAAAAAAGATGTGCTGGAATATAATCTGAGTTAAAGTCTTCCTTGCTACTATACTTTTAGCAAATTATGCTTAGTTAATAAATTTTAAAATAGTTTTTCTTTTGAGAATAGAGCTGTAATTAGACTAGAAATATGTTGAAGGCAATCTTTCTCACTGATGGAATATTTTGGCATTTTTAAAGATAAAAAGAAAAACACAAAACACGTGGAGACATATGCAAACCCAAGGAACTCATACTTTTATGAAACCTCAAAAGAACTGGAGGAAGAAGCTAGTCAAATGCATCAAATGCAGTTGGTTTAGAGACTGCAGGAAACACTTTTTTCCCCAAGTCTCTTTTCTCTGCTAGTGTTTAGCATCTCAGATTTGTGATACTTCAACATAGTAGGCCCTAACAGATGCTAAGCAAACTAGTCAGGAAAATCTCATCCACTTTTGTCAGCCTTCCTATCAAACATCACTTGTCTCATGGGGTATTTCTTCTTAAGTTTAGAAAATGTTTTCATATGTTAGCTATTTTCTTGTAAGGTTGTAATGATGGCAGCAGAGTTTTGTTCATGAAAGACTGCTGAGCAAAACCTTGCAGGTTCACCTTGCAAGAGCTTGCGAGAACCAACCCTTTGAAAGCATGACTGGAGATTTGAGTGATACAAACTCCAAAGAGTCGTCCTCTTTCCAGCTCCACTGCTGCTTTATTCAAGCCAGATGCAGAGTTTTTTACTGTCTCACAGCATCTCAAGGAAAAGCAGTACCAAGGCCCCTCTCCTTCTCTGTGCTGAAAACAGAATGATCATGCCAGGTCTGATCTACAGTGACATGGAATGATCACAGCTTTCAGTAAAGCACGGGCACCAGATGCTCAGTACTTCTGCAGGGAGGTCACTATCTAATATTCATAGAGTCTTTCACACTGTAATCCACCATCCTGTACACAAAGTTCAGGATCTAAGGCATTTCCCCTACTAAGCAGCAAAACAATAAAAACTTTATATCGCTAACAGTTATAAGGATCTTTACTTGTCCTATATCTCTTGCCGTTTAAAATCTTCAGAGAAGTGGCAGTGTGTTAGACACGCGCCTTTCTCAGCTTTACTGTGACTAGGAATCAATACTGACACCAAGGCTTTCACTCAGTTTGACTGTTTCCCCACTGAAAAGTACCTATCTCAAAGCATCACACTGACTAGAGTTTTACGAAGTTTGTCATCTAAACGGTTGAATTTCACTGTTGGGGAAATCTCATGCCACAATCTTCCACTGTAGAACCAGTGGTTATAACAGAGAGTTTTTTGCTAGATTGAGGAGACAACATGTATCTGCATCCCTGTCTCTTGTAAAAGTTGGCCAGGGTTGCCAGCCATGCCAAAAAATCCATTTGAGATTCTCTTTCAGAAGTGATGGTCCTGGATGATTCATCTGAAAATGTTTCCATCTGCCACTGGAACTCTGCCCACAAAACCAAGGCACTTTTGAGTATCAATAGCTATTATGTCCTTTATTAAAGATAAAGTAAAATAATACCCTATTTTACACTTCATGTATGGTTTGTCATTTAATATCAGTCCTGTGGTTTGTAACGTACCTGAGGCAATCAGGAATCCCACAGAAATCCTCTTACTTGTTCCTTCTTAATCTCTAATTGCAACAAGAATCTTGGATGCAGTGATAACAGGATTTTATGTAGTAAAATGCAAGTTAAAATATATATATTTAGCTAAACATGGTTGAATGGGACTGGGTTTATGAACTGCTAAGATTAAGATCTTAAGATCTTTCTCCCAGAAAACATAACTGAATATAGAAATATAGAATATTTCTAAATTCTATAGAATATAGAGATATAATTAAATCAGTTTAATGTTTTAACCTTGGAAGGGGCTCATCCCAAAAATAATGCCAGGATCGAATGAGCCAATTTGCTTCTTCTCTCACACCCCCCATCCCATATCCCACACACAGATGGAATACTTCTTAATCAGGAGATTTATTGGACACACTAGTCTTTAAGGAGCCTTTAAGACTTACTAGATGTTGCTAATGCCTAACAAAATAAAATATTATAGAGTACCAGATGCTCCAGAAAACTTTTAATTCTGTCGTTACACCTGTGCTTTAATAAAAGCAAAGGTATCAAGTGTAATGAATACTATAACAGTAGAGCCATCGCTTACCCTATCAGGGGACCCAGGGAAATGCAGCGGCTGTGATGGTATGAAAAATAGTATAGTCATAGGTCAGTAATTTCAAGAGCTTAAGAGGGAGAAACATCATAAGAGGAAACTGTGATATCAGAGAAAAAAGAACAACCAAAAGTTAAAGATAGGATTTTATAGGGATTTCAGACTCATTCATGAGAAGACTACTGATTTGCCAAAACTAAAATCGTATTCTCTTTATGAAATTCAAACTCCACATAAATCAGTGTCAAAATCTGACTGAAATCCAAGTGAGACAATATTTCAATTGAAATGAATAAAATTAGAGCAGATGTGAGTCAAGTAAAAGCATCTGTCATGTCCAGTTAAACTAACTTTAACAAAATTGAGTTTATGGGCACCTTTCACACCAAGCAACGTGTAGCACAGTGCACATAGATGATAATTTAGTAAAGGACTTGGGTAGTTTGATTTCTTTCTTAAATTATGTTTGCTCTGAACTGTATACACTGCATTGTCTGTTCTATTTGTGCTAGAAATTAATGGCAAAGATATAAACAATTTATAAGGTTAGTACATACTGAGTGGTTTCAAAACCCTAGAGATTAGTGAATAATAAATATAATCAGGCCTTTTGTTAGTACCGTAATGCTTCACTGTTTAGGTCACATATGATTATTGTGCTAATGCCATTTTTGGGATGAAATGGTTACTAAAATTACAATGTTTCCAAGAGTTTCACTGAACAAAATAGAGTCTGATGAGGATGGAGAAATGAGACAAAGGAATTAATATGATTTGTTTACAGTCTCAGAAGAAGTCAGTCTCAGAAGTTTCTATTCTATTCTATTCTATTCAGCTTGTGCCACTGCCCTCATCCTCACAACATCCAGGAACATCCCAAGAGTTGCTAGACAATATGTTCTGTACGTTTCACTTATTATTTGCTTTTGAAAGATGCAGTATTACAAAAGACTCAGGCATAAGACTGGTTTTGGATTTGGATTCTAATTTTTGTTGTTGTTGTTGTTTCCTTGTTTTGGATCGGATATGGAGCTTGTCTCACAGAGCTGTAAAAGCAAAAGGGAAAAGTAATTTTTGTTTTGACTGAAGGCAAATGTTTTGCTGTCCTCTATGTTTTTAGTACCCAAGCTGAGATTAAATGCCTGCACACTGTGCCTGCCATGGAGCATGGAGGCATTCAAAGTGGTCTTCAGATTTAAGTGGTTCAAACTCCCACAGAAACTTTAGCTGCCTACAGGCATCCCAGTACTTGAGCTTTCAGCAACAGCTTGGATCTAGACCACTGAGCACCATAAGACTAAAGCCAGATGTGGCACTAAACCTGCATTATATGGGAAAAACTGTTGTTTAAACATGTCTTAAAATGGCTCTTTGTGGTCTCTTTGCAGTGCCACAGCCAGACATCTCAAATACCATTTGAGATCTTGAAGACATAGTGTAAGTAATGCTGGGGAGGCTTGCAATCCTTTTGATAGTCCAAGATGTTAAAGAAATGTGTAATTGGTCTTGTGCTACCTAAAGTTTTCTTTGTTGATAATTTCATGTCTAGTTCTATGGCAGGTTATAGTCTAGACAACAGTGACTGGAGTGTATAAAATGAAAGCACAGAACTTTCTACTGCAGGGGACCTTCGAGTTCTTAGCAGAAAATCACAGTTGCTCTTCTACTTCGGCAGGACACACACTTTCCACCAACCAAATGCTTGCTAACTCCTAGAAAACAGGGTTTTCATTTCATGCAGACACAAGCTGCTCAATATTCACCAAGGCTCAGCAACGCCGAGGCAGCTGTTAATTCTCGATCTGTCTGTTGACACACATCACAACATAGAATCACAGAATGGTTTGTGTTGGAAGGGACTTTAAAGATCATCCAGTTTCAACCTCCCTGGTAAGGGCAGGGATGCCACCCACCAGATCACGTTGCTCAGGGCCCCATCCAACCTCTCCTTGAACACTTCCAGGGATGGGGCATCCAGAGCTTCTTTGGGCAATCTGTTCCAGCGCCTCGCTACCCTCTGAGTAAAGAATTTCTTCCTAACATCTAATTTAAATCTCTCTTCTTAGTTTAAAGCTGTCCAATCACTGTCTGCCCGTGTAAAAAGTCGCTCTCAATATTTCCACAGCAGAAGGGCGACCCGAGTTTATTTTATTTTTTAATATTTTTTTCCCACCTCAGTTTCCAGAGGGGCACACGTTCTTTCCCTGTTCCTGGCGCTGCCCGCGGGCGCGCACTCACACACACTCGCACGGCCTCTCTCCCCGGTGTGGCCGGGCCGCTGGGCTCAGCACTGCCCGCTGCCCGCCCGCCCCGCTCCCTGACCACTGACCGCTCACCGCGGCGCTGCCGCAGCCTCCGCCTTCCTTCCTCCTCCCAGCCGTGCCCGTGACTGTTCCCTCGCTCCTGCCCTCCCCGCCGCGGCGGAGCCCTCCCGAGCGGAGCGGAGGAGGAGTGTCCTGGGCGTCGCGCACAGCCCAGCCCAGCGCGGCGGCGGCGGTGGCGGGGGAATGTGCAGCCGCGGGGAGGAGAAGCGCCGGGCGGGCGGCGGAGCGGGCGGGCTGCGGGGGCGCAGCCGGCGGCGGCAGCGGCGGCCGGGCATGGGGCCCCCGGGCGGTCGCGGCAGCCCCACCGCCCGCGGCAGCCTGCAGGTGAGGGCCGGGCGGAGCGAGGGGGGAAGTGCCGCGGCCGGCCACCCGAGCCCGACTTCGCACGCAGCAGCGAAATCGGCAACGAATTGGCAAAAAAAAAAAAAAAAAAAACACAAAAAAACCCCGAAAAACCGTATATACGTGTATATGTTTGTTGGGTCTTTTTCTCTTGGATCCGATCGCCAAAGATCAGAGCAGCCGCTAAAAGTTTATTTTTGTTGCTGCTGCCGAAGCGGGTTGTGACAGAGCCGCGAAAAGGACGAATGGGTGATTAGAAAGAGGGGAAGGGGGAAAAATTTCCTCCGTGGGGAGGATGCCCGAAGTTACTTTCCATTTGTGAGGAGTGGGCGACGCGGTGGCCAACGCGGGCAACTTTCTCCGCGCAGCCCCTCCGCGGCTCCGCTCTGCAGCTCGTGTTTTCCGCCGGCAGCAGAGGGGACCCCGAGGGGCGGCCGGAGATCTGTGGCGGCGAGGCTGGAGCCGCTGGTGCCGCGGTCGCGGGACGCAGGGACCCGCCTGGAGCGCGGCACCTCCGCCGGGACCCCCGCGGGCTGCGAGGCGCCTCCGCTGCACCGCGGGCCCCTGGGCATGCGGAAAAACAGGTTTCGGGACTGGGCATGGGGTAGGGGGAGCAAGGGACGCGTGTCACATTCCTCCTGTGATAGGGGAAGAGAACGAGCAACTGCTTGGGGGTGCGCAGTGGGTTGCCCTCGTTTGGGATGCGCTTGTGGTGGGGAGGGGAGGTGCTGCTGGTGAGAAAGGCGCGGGCTTGGGGCGGAGGGAAGACGGAAGATGGCACGTCGGGGCGCAAGTGCTGCTGGGGGGCGGGGGGAGTCACTGTGCCTCCGGGCCATTCTAGGAGTGCGTATTTGCTGTGGGGAATGCAGCTGGTGTTGCCTGGAGGGTACAGATGGTGATGCCCTGGAAGTATCTGCTGTACTGGAAGGAGAAGATGGTGGGGAGAGGGAGGATGACTTCATGTTGCAGTTGCAGCACTCTCTGCTCGAAGTGGCAGTGGGGGAGGCAGTGGGCAGGGGGAGGTACCACCCCTTCCTCACACACATGTGCCTCTCTCTTCTCAGCACTTGCTCCTCTTCCTGCTCTTCGTTGGGCCTTTCAACTGCTTTGCCAGTTACAGCCGTGCAACCGAGCTCTTCTACAGCCTCAACGAGGGGCTGCCTGCTGGGGTGCTGATCGGCAGCCTGGCCCGTGACCTGCAGCTCCCAACGGCTGGTGGGCAGCACCCTGTGGCCCCACTCTCCTTCACTCTGGCCTCCCATGGCTTGGGGGGACAGTATGTGCAGCTGGACAACCGCTCTGGGGAGCTGCACACCTCGGCCATGGAAATCGACAGGGAAGCTCTATGCGTGGAAAGCAGTGGGGCCACCATCTTTGGATCATCTTCTGTCTCCTCTTCCTCCCCCTCATCCGAGCCATGCCTACTGCTGCTGGATGTACTGGTACTGCCACAGGAGTACTTTCGCCTGGTGAAGGTAAAAATTGCTATTCGTGATGTCAATGACAATGCTCCCCGCTTCCCTGTGCCCCACATCCATCTCTCGGTGCCCGAAAATGCGCCTGTGAACACCCGCCTGGCTATTGAGCACCCAGCCCTTGACCCTGACATGGGCACTAACGGTGTCCAGACTTACCGCCTGCAAGATAACTACGGTGTCTTCACCCTGGATGTGGAGGAGAATGAGAGTGGGGAGAGGACTCCCTACCTGATTGTTATGGGGGCACTGGACAGGGAAACACAGGAGGAGTATGTCACAGTCATCGTTGCTGAGGATGGGGGCACACCTCCGCTCGTGGGCAGTGCGACCCTCACTATTGGCATCAGCGACATCAATGACAACTGCCCGCAGTTCAATGACTCGCAGCTCAACGTCACCCTTTATGGGAATTCCAGCCTAGGGACACATGTGGCTACTGTCCACGCAGTAGACATGGACCTTGGATCCAATGCCCAGGTCACCTATTCCTACAGCCAGAAGGTCCACCAGCCATCCAGAGACTTGTTCCATCTGAATGAAAGCACAGGAGCCATCACACTCTCCACTAAAGTTGATGGGGACACTCCAAAGCTACACAGACTGATCATACTGGGCAATGGCCCTGGATGTATCCCTGCCGTGATCACAGTTGTAGTGACCATCATCAAAGTCATGATGAGGCCACCTGAAGTTGTCCCTCGTTTCATAGCTAATGAAGTGGAAGGGGTGGTTTACTTAAAGGAACTGGAGCCTATCAACACACCTATAGCATTTTTTACTATCAAAGACCCCGATGAAAAATATAAAGTCAGTTGCTATTTGGATGGTGATGGACCTTTCAGACTTTCACCATACAAACCATACAACAATGAATATCTGTTGGAGACCATAAAGCCTCTGGACTTTGAGACACAGCAACTGTATGAAATTTCTGTAGTTGCATGGAACTCAGAAGGATTTCGTGTCAACAAAGTAATCAAAGTACAGGTCCTGGATGACAATGACAACTCACCAGTTTTCTCTGAACAGCTGATAGAATTGTCCATTGAGGAGAACAATGTTCCCAATGCTTTTTTGACCAAACTGCATGCTACTGATGCTGACAGTGGAGAAAGAGGGCAAGTGTCCTATTTCTTAGGTCCTGATGCCCCTTCCTATTTTGCTTTAGATAAAACCACAGGAGTTCTTACAGTTTCCACCCAGCTGGACAGAGAAGAAAAAGAAAAATACAGATATACTGTCAAAGCAGTAGATTCTGGCTTCCCTCCAAGAGAATCAATAGCAACGGTTGCCATCACTGTATTGGATAAAAATGATAACAGTCCAAGATTTATAAATAAGGATTTCAGCTTTTTCGTGCCAGAAAACTTTCCAGGTTTTGGTGAAATTGGAGTTATAAGTGTCACAGATGCTGATGCAGGACAAAATGGATGGGTTGCCCTTTCGGTTCTGAATGGAAGTGATATTTTTGTCATAGATACTGGAAAAGGAGTTTTGAGAGCTAAAGTCTCCCTGGACAGGGAGCAGCAAAGCTCCTACGTTCTGTGGATTGAAGCAGTCGATGGTGGTGATCCTGCCCTGTCTTCCACAGCAAAAATAACTATCCTTCTTCTGGACATTAATGATAACCCCCCTTTGGTCTTGTTCCCTCAATCTAATATGTCTTACTTGTTGGTCCTTCCTTCTACCCTTCCTGGCTCTCCCATTACTGAGGTCTATGCTGTCGATAAGGACACTGGCATGAATGCAGTCATAGCTTACAGTATCATAGGGAGAAGAGGTCCTCGACCTGAGTCATTTAGGATCGACCCCAAAACTGGTAATATCACCTTGGAAGAGTCACTGATGCAAAATGACTATGGCCTCTATCGGCTGCTTGTAAAAGTTAGTGATCACGGCTATCCAGAACCTCTCCATTCCACTGTCATGGTGAACCTTTTTGTCAATGATACGGTTAGCAATGAGAGCTACATTGAAAGTTTGTTAAGAAAGGAGCCTGATATCAGTATAGAAGAAAAGCAGCCACAAATATCCGTAGAGCCTACACATAAAAAAATGGAGTCAGCATCCTGCATGCCTACCTTGGTAGCTCTTTCAATAATAAGCTTGGGTTCAATTGCTTTAGTAACAGGGATGGGCATTTACATTTGTTTAAGACAAGGGAAAAGGCATCACAGAGCAGATGAAAACTTGGAAGTACAAATCCCATTAAATGGAAGAATTAACCTGCACATGTTGGAGAAGAAACCAGTGGAGATTTCTAACATTTGATGTTTCTTTGTGTATAAATCAACCATCTGAAAAACCCTGGACAACACTGAAACACCTAGCCATGATTTGTATTGACAGAGGTTGCAATGAAGGACTGGTAATTTATAACTTAATAATATTATAATTGTAAATAGCTGTTTACAGTTTTTTAAATTCAAATTCAGTGTACAGCTTTTTTATGAAATGTTAGTAACTAACAGCTAGCACCCTGACTATAAAGACGTGGACATCATTTCCAGCTTTCATAAATCAATAAGATCACTGAACATAAAAAAGGGGAAGGTAAGATGATTGTTTAAACTCAAGATTTAAAAGTCTTTTTAACCACGAGAGGGCATCAGATGCTCCTGAGCAGGGAACTGTTCGAGGTACTGTCCATGAGATAAACAGAGTATATTTTAAATATATTGATTTTAATATAAAATGCCTATTGGCATACAGACAATACAGACATTTAACTACTACCAAAATAATGTCTGTCCCAATGTATGTATAATTAAAAGAATAAAGATGTTAAAATGCACTAGTAATAAAAACCAGAATGTTTATTACCTCACAAGTAAAGCTTATACAGTAGGATAGAAGAGGCATTAACAAGAAGTGCAATTCCTGTTGAGCAAGAATGCAAGATATTGTAATGAGAATCTGAACTGCTGTGACATATCATCTTTCATTTTTCTCCAGATTTCACCCTCATTATCAATTGCTGCAGCAATCTGCTGGTCATTTTTATGGAAAAGTTATATTTAATATTTCCTACAGTAAATAATGACAGAACCCCATGCTCATCCTCATAAACATGCCAGATGCAAGGAAGCAAGGGAATGGCTAAATCTTTAGTTATCACAAGAGTGGTGATATTTTTTGTACTTTGAGCAATCTGTCAGTAGTACTCCATCAGTTTGGTTGTGTAATAGATTTTTTTCATGTGTTACTTTGGAATCTGATCTGCCAGATGGAAACAAAAATCACTTCATATTCTAAGGAATTGTAGGACTTTGTTTATTCTGACTGTTGCTCCTTTCTGGATTGGTATGTCATGTGAAAGATCTTGTTTCTGACTTTTGGCGACCATTCCTGGCTCCTTTTCATTGGCTTTGATTTTGGATTAGATCCGAAATCTAACTTGTAAGACTGGTGGCATATTTCCTTAATGATTTATTCTTTGCTGTATCTTCTGCAACAAAGCAGCAATTTTAACAGTGATGTGTTACTTTCACTTCATTTTAAGAACTGAGAACTATCTTTTGTATGATGATTGCATTAAATTTCTCAGTGTGAACAAGATAGATTAGTGTTATGCTTAAAACTGATTATTTTGATTTCTGGCATCATATGTCTGCAATGTACCAAGAGTGTTTATATGTCTGCAAATTAAAGCTATATATTTTCATAATAACTTATTCTCTGTTTCCTAGAATTTTAATTATAAAAAAATATTATTTCAGTTGTAAGAAATGCATATTTCACAAATGCCTAGGTGCTGGCTTTCTTGTCTGACATGTCATAATAATTCCCCAAATTAGTATACTTCAAAGTTATTAATAACAGTTTGTTCTGTACGTTTTGAAATTATCAGCAAAGACAGTCGTATTTCAGCTGATGCTGAAATGGTGTCTCAGCTCATACCTGTTTTAAAAGTAGGGAATGCAATTTCAACCAGTTTTTGATTTTCCTCTCCGTGACTGGCACATTACTTTACCTTGAACCTATTAAAATGTTGGAGCTTCTTATAGATATTGGTTCTACTTAGCCTAAGTAAGTGTATTAACATAATACCCATGTTTTTCCATTCTAGCTATGGGGGAAAGGCCATTTTTCCAGGTTAGAATATTTTCTGTTTATGCACGATTTGATAGCTGTGTTTCATGAAAAACTAGTTCAGCCTGTCAGAGCTTTGTGGTCAATCACCTTTTTTTCCTTTATTTTCATATTATCAAAATATGAAGATGATGTGTATCTCTGAAATGGTTTGCTGCAAAAAGACATTGTTTCTTATCTCTGAAGGAAAAATACATTGTATCTTCAGGCTTATATATTAGGCATGCTCCGTATTGCTGTGGTAAGGAAGCTCGGTACTCTGCATTTTTCTCTTCAATAAGGAAGCATGGTAACTGAAAGACAGGATTCTTTTTATTACTTCTCTCTTACTTGAATAAGCAGTCGAGCCTACTCTCAAGACAGTTTAAACAGGAGCAAACTCAAGACTTAAGAAATACAATAAAACCATAAACCTGATCTCTCAGTGTGTGTTCATGAGACACTAGACACATAACATACTTTTATTCAGGTTTGACAAATACATAGTCTTGACGCTGTTTGATTAAGGTGTGTTTAAACATGCTGGTTTTGTTGCTTTTTTTGTTCGTTTGTTTAGTTCAAGCACGTTCCTAATATGTAATAAAATGTACTGTTATGAGCCTGTTAAAACCAAAGTACTGCTCATGAAGCATTTCACTCATAATTTTCTACACATTTAAAGAAAATGGTTTTAAAACCATACTTTCAGTCATACACACTGTTACTTGTGAAAAAGACTTTATAATGAATAAGACCTCGTAGAGCACATTTTTGCCTCCCTGTGAGTAGCCTTTATGTAGGTAATGTCACTGAAAATGGCAAAATATGCAGTGAACTGTTTGGATTTTTTTTTTTTTGTTCCATATTTTATGTTACTTAAAAAACATACAGCTGCAAGTAATAAACATGATAGTTAAGCCTGCGATGTTAAGCCTAACAGTGATTAAAAATACCAAAACAGGAGTCTTAAGTTCATAGAACCTGGGAATTTCTTCCTAAAAAAAAGTACTCTTTCTCACTTGTAGAATTCTTGATGCTGGCTGAACAGCAAACATTTCTGTGATGTTGCTGTTTCCAAAGTATCCCTTACCAAAATCCTTTTCACATGAAAACACATTTTTAATAAGTATAACTAAAGTAAATTAGACTCAGATATAAAAGGCCTATTTTGCCACCACCTTGTGCAGTGCACTTGCCAAAATATATGCAAATCTTGTCGTCACTGGTAGTTGAGCTGGCACAAAAATAAATGTCTTATTCATTTACAGTATCCATTGAACAATATTAGGGTGAGTGGATGCCCCTTGTTCATTTTTATAAAAAATGAGGTTGTCTTAGGTTTTGTATTGCCAAAGCTTCCTAAACTTGCCATGTAAATACTTTTTCATTAGAGTTAACAAATTAAAAAATGAAAGACAAGAAATGGGCAGTGAGCCCAGTGGCAGTGGACAGAGAAAATCAGTCTTCTCTTTCTGCTTCATTTTATTCTTTTTAAAAGAACTCTTTGAAGTTACTGTTTTGATGAGAAACTGACCTAACACCTGGCTGAATATCAATAAAGGATGAGATTAAAAGGGTAGAAGGAGAATTAGAGCACACTACTTTTTCTTATGTCAAAACTCAGAAAACAATCTTGTGGCCTTTTATGTCCATTTTTCAGTATAAACGTTCAAATATGCAACTGTGCCAGAGTCTGCTGAGAAGAATGTGAAAAGTTCCCACTATCTTAACAGGACATCCAACGAGAAGCACAGTGTTAGCAAAACCTGGCCTGTCTGACAGCAGTGACAAACCCTCAATTGCTGACTAGGGTTTCATTGAAAGTTTTCTGTCCCTAACTGCTGTTTTGGGATGATTTCATTAAAATAGTCAAACACATGAAGATGATGTGTAGTCCACAACTAGTATTTCACCTCCTGGTTCAAAGCAATGAACTTTCAGGTTGCAGTGGCCTGCATCACAGAAATACCTTACAGTTTGTCATAAGTGGACATATGCAGCATGTCTGCACAAAGAAATCATCAGCTGAATATGCCAACTGTTTGTGTTCATGATTCAGGTGTATTATCAGAGCCATACTGGAAGATGGAAGCTGACTGTCATGTCCTCTGTACTGTGTTTGTCAGCATGTTCTCACAGTTTCTACATATAGTCTCACCCATGTAACTTACAGAGAAAAACAAAGCATAACAATTAATTATTGAATATTAGTCAGCTAAAACAAAAAACTTTGATTTAGACCACGATACTTCAGAGCGGAGTTTGAGGAGCTAAGCAAGTTCATGTCCCTCACCAAAACAGTCTGAGTTTAAAGGAGGTGTCTAGTGAAATTTAAAGTGGAAATAAAGAGATTCAGCACCCCCACTTCCTACAGAGTAGGGTCCTATACTTTTTATATGAGTAGTAGTTGCTCAGACAGCTAAAAGTTGCACAATTTAGGTTTATGCTTTATTTAATAGTATGGGAAATGTTTTGAGGAAACTATATGAAAGCTTCTAACTTAAGTTCCAAACATGTTCCTCAGAGTTATGAAATTTCAAATTATTTGCAACATGTCATAATTTACATAGGCATAATTTTCTGAATTAAAGCATGTGCAAAGACACCTGTGCGGGCAGTGTTGATATTTCCTTTTCTGTCTCTGTACCAGGGTGAACCATCAGAGAAGATAAAACTGCCATCTGCATTCTGAGATGGCAGGATTCAAAGATTTTGGCTCATAAACTAATATAAAAGTATAATGTTATAAAATATAAGATAAAACAATTCTGTTTTTCACATTATGGATGAGAAAAATACCTTCATTCTTATACCACAGATTGATAGGCTGCGTAATTTCTCTAACATGTTGTACATGAATGTTTCAGTGATTTCTGCTATATTTGCATTCTAGTTTCATCACAGAATGCATTTTAAAGGCCAAATTTCAATTCCAGTTTTTTTCTGATGATAGTACTTTGAACAGTTGCTAAGAAAACATTCTTCTGAATGTAGAAACGTTGAATCATTTATGATGCATTCAGTCATTTATTCCACTGCTTGTAGAAACAAATATAGACCTACATATTGAAGTTGAAGGTTTTCATATGGGTAGGTAATGCTGCTGGTAAGTAGCAAGCATTTAACAGAAATACATTACAAGGAATTATTTCAACTGTGTTCAAATCTAGAGGGCTTTCATTTTAAGCATCATATTGGATGTTGGTCTACTCCCAGCAGCCCTTGCAATATCTATTCAATCTACTATCCTAACAATTTTGTCTTTTTTTCCATCTTTAAAGTTTGAGGGAAGTATTCATCCTCAGAGAAAACCAGTGAGATGAGAACTCTTACCTCCTTATGCATAATAGGAGTAACAGCTTGATTCCTCTACCTATGTGCCAGCATCCAATGCTACTTGAGAAGCCTTAAGGTATCCCACCTGTCCTCCAGCTGCACTTCCTGGAAGAGTGCAAGCTTTCTCTCAATGAATATATGCCAGCTCAGTGCAGATGCTTTGGATATTTTAGAAGATGTTCAGTAAACACAAATGTGTGTTGAATTGAGTCTTTGATGTGATTCATCTCCATATTTACACATCTGTGTTGAAATATCTACAGAAAGGTATTGACCATTGACCTGGGAGCCTGAGCTTCCACTATAATTTGTGAGTTTCATCAGCACAG